TATATATATATACACACACACACCCACACACACACACACACACACACACACACACACACACACACACACACACACACACACACACACAGTATGTCTGTATGTAAAACCTCTGGCAATAGCCTATACTCCATCCCAGGGATAATCAAACCCGGCCCCTCCAGCTGTGGTGGAACTACAAATCCCATAAGGCATTGCAAGATTTTCATAGCCACAGGCATGACTCTCACTGAGGCTGATTATTAATGGGTTCTGTAGCTTCACCAGAGCTGGAGGGCCAGAGTTTGCCCACCTCTGCTCCATACAGAGCTTGTCCTGTAAGCGGTTTGCTTGCAGCAGCTCTTCAGCAAGGATTCTGGCTGTACTGTCCGCACTAGTGTTGTAATGTTTATGCTCTGTGAATAAAAAATATTACAGACAGACACTGTGTGATTTTTTATTTTTTTATTTTGTTAAGTTGTACAAACAGACGAATGTGTAACACACACACCACTGTATAGACTGTATTCCATATAAACAATAGAAATGTTATATATACACAATGATGAGAATAAACTGTACATCGGCCATAGGTGGGGTTGTGCTTTATTGTACGGTACGTGTTCTGTAGTGGAATCTCTAAGGCTGGCTTCACACCCAGGAGTCGTGTGCGGTTCTTAGTGTGTTCTGGTGCATGGGCAGCCTAGTCAAAATGAGTGGGCTGCCCTGCTGCAATGCATGTCAACACCTTAGGCAGTAACACATTTTACAGCGCCCAACCTCAGACCATAGGGTAAGTCCACTCAGGTGACCTTCAGCATGAAGCCAGTGGGTATGTCACAGCCTTACATACTATAAGTGGATGACTTGCTGCTATGTGAACCTGAAGTTTTGTCAGAACATACTCTCAGCAAGAGCCTACCGTCAATCAATATTCCAGAAAGGAGAGGAATGCATCAACACATTTAACAACCAACACTTATCAGACATGGGCATCAATGAAACACCAATCACGTCAATGCTAAGCCCTTGCCAATCTTTCTAATTATGACCGCTCAAATTTATTTCCCATGCCCGCAATCAGGAATGAACAGGAAGTGATGTAGAGCACTTCCTGTTCATTCATAACTGGGGACACTAAGCACACTAGGACCAGACATAAAAATGGATTATGTTTAAGTTAGCTACGACCGATGCTCATTTCCCTCTTTAAAAAAACTACACTGCTTGGCAATAGAAATGCTGGGATTTTATGTACAAATAAGTGCTTTTCAAAGAAAATTTAAAAAAATGAAATTCACAGCTTTCTGAACGGAGGAACCGTAAAAATTCAAACGCAGACAAAACACAATGCGACAATAAGGGGTGAGTTTATGAAATGTTCGCAGAGCCGTTCGCACTGCAAATGTCTGAGTTTTAGATGCACATCACATTATGGCCACTAGATGGAGCCAAAGAACATAGGAAATTCAATAGCTCCTCTGCGCCATCTGGTGGCGTGAATCTAAAACTCACATGTGCGCTGATAGCTTTGCTATCATTTTATAAATACACCCCTTAGGAATAAGAACAACTTTATTCATCCAGCAGAAATGAGGACACACCACCCATGTTCCCTCTGACACGTTTCACCCCCAGGGCCGGATTTACTATCTCTGCCAGTGTCAAGGCTGCATACAAGTGATCTTGGCAACATTGCTGTACATTTTTATCTGCTTGCCCAAAGCAGGGCTATATGTAGAAAACAATTACCCGCCCAGCGCCCGGAACTGCATGTCCCGGTCATCGGGAGATACGAATTCCACATCCCTGTTGCCCCTCTACTTCCTGCTGCCCCGAGGCCGGGCCTTGGTTGGCCTTGTGGGAAATCCAGCCCTGTTCACCCCCCTGCTGGTTCCTAATTGTACAGCAGGGGGCAAAACATAATAAGCATTACTAAAAAAATGGGTTTGCAATCAATATTATAGCTTAGCTCCACCCAAAACATATTTCATAAATGTCTTCCTTTTGGAGAAATTTTTTGCACTTCCTGTTTTAGTGACTACACAGAAACAATAAAAAACAACCTGTCAGAGGTTCTAACTGTTCAAGCCAAAAAAAAAAATTGGGCTGCAGTTGAGCTGTGACAGTTGCCAATACGTCTTCACATTTTTGCTTTGGAGTTGGTTCATTTTAATGGGATGACCCTGTGAAGACATGGTGATCAGTTTATAAGTTAAATGTGTATTGGTGTTGAGTTATGTTTTGAGTGCGTTATGCTGTGTGACCTGGTTATGGAAAGACTATCAGAACCATCCCTCGTTATCTCCCATTGTACTCTGAGGGAGCTCAGAACAATGACATTCTGGCCAGGCTCCTGCTATGGCTGTCTGGAGCTCGTTAGCAGGTGGACACCTGTGGTGTTATGAAGACAGAATGTCCAGGGAGGGGACGGGGGATGTGATGGGATTATATTCTGATCTGATCACTTTCTGTATAAAAGTTTGTGCAGTTGTTCAATAAAGCAGAGTTTGTTTACCCTACACTCAAGCCTTGGCTAGTGACTGGGGAAACTGGGAGCTACAGATCAGCGGGTTCCAATATCTCCTCAGCAAGGAAGAAGACAGCGGCGGACATACTCATCCTGAGTACGGGGGTCCGTCACATTGGTGGCAAGCGGTGGGATGCTCTTCCTTGCCTAAGGAGACCTTCAAACCACCACCAGGACCAAGTTTGCTGCGGACATAGAAGAGCCACAGTTGCCTACGGCCATGGAAGCGCTGGCCCAGCTCGACAATCCTGGTTCTGCCCAGGATATGCTGGGAAGGAGAGACGCTTTACGCCGGGAGATCTGGAGGGAGACTCTTCAACTGCAGCAGCACTATTGTGGCAAGGTCCTCCCTATATCCAAGGAACGATACTGGCTGCAATGGGACTTGCGTGTTCCTTTCCTGGGAGAGCAGCCCCGGGAGGAATGGCTGTTGGAGATGGATTGGCTGCTCCAAACAGAACTGATGCTGGACGATGGGTACCAGGCGCTACAGTGGTATGTCACCCAATTGTGTCCATGGCTGGAGAACAATGATCCCACAGAGGGCTATGACTTTGGCGGCCCGGGACTTATATTTGAGGCGCTCCAGGAGGATCCACAATTTGGGAGTGCACAGGAGTGGAGGTGGGAGGACATACGTGATTTTAGGGAGTTGGAACTCCCCAATGAGCTCGGATTGAGGGCTGATTTGGACTTTTTAGTCACACAAGAATGGGAGCTGGAACAGGCATACAAAAGACTGTTCGACATTGCTCAACAGCATGCCCCAGCGACCACAGATGTTTTGGAGCTACTAGACCCAGCAGAAGAGCTGGAATCAGGGCAGAGCACTGTTGACCTCTGCCCAGCACCGGCAACACCTCTGAAGCTCCAGGGAGCCCGGGCAGGCAGCCCCTCTCCCCAACAGCAGGCCGATGCAGAGGAACTACTAGTCCCAGCTGAAGAGCTGGCATCAGGGCAGAGTGCTACTGACCTCTGTCCAGCAACAAATGCACCTCTGGAGCTCCAGGGAGCCGGGGCATATGGCCCCTCTCCCCAACAGCAGGCCGATGCAGTGGAACTACTGACCTCAGCTGAAGAGCTGGCATCAGCGTTCCAGGGAGAAAAAGTAACCGACCTCTGTCCCCAGCGGCAGATCAGCAGTCTGGGAGAGGAGGTGGTCTTCCTCCCTCCCCAGCAACCAATTGGAATCCAGGGAGAGAAGGGGATCGTCCACCCTCCCCAGCAGCAGTTTGGAATCCAGTTAGAGGAGGAAGCCGTCCTCCCACCCCAACAGCAAGCCAGAACTGAGGATGTGGATTCCCCAGCAGAAGTGCTGACACCCGGGCAGAGTACCACTGGCCTATGTCCCGCACTGTTGCCTGTTCCAACCTCCATGGGAGAACAGGAAGCCGGCCTCTCTACCAGCTCGTGGCTTTGGTGTCCAGAAGATTCTGGCTTTATCTCTCGCCAGAGGCACCATGTTTGTCAGAAAGGCACAGACAACATCTCTCTCCAGCAGCAGAGGCAGGACGTCCTTTGGATGCAGTATGTGGACTTATGCTGCCCGACAAATGCAGGTCCAGACCAGTTGGGGGACTGGGACCTAATAAGTCTACTTTTGGGGGGGAAGAAATGTCACAGTACCCACCGTGACCTGGGCTCCTGGAGGGGGCTGGCGGCCGGCCTCGTCCCCAGTGACTATGGACCTAAGATTTTGGAGACCCCCTTTGTTGGGTTGAACCGGATGTCCGGGGCCCATGGACAGCTGTTGTGATGGAGCCTGGCCCCTGACTGTAACATCATGGACATCCCCAAGTGGACCCGTAGAGGGTCTCACCGGGTCTGCCATCTTTTAACACCCCAATAATGCTGACTGTGTACCCCAGCACTGGACAGGACATACCTAAAGCATCAGGTTACATCAGCTCAGCAGCACATATTACTACCGCACAATATTTGTATTTTTGTAACAAAATATGTCAGGAAGCTGATCTGATCCCTTCCTTCGCAGTCCTGTCCAGTGGCACCAAAGCTACAACTTAGATCTGATTGGCTGAGCAGACAACTTAGTGTGTTCTGTGACAGAGCTAAGATCACGTGCACCCATATTCCTGAGCCAATTACAATGAAGCAGCCTTGTCACCCATAGACTGAGCAGCTAATTTATACAAGACACGCCCTCTCTGACGTCTTCCATTGCACTCTGGTAGGATAATCGGCCCCCTGTAAGTAAAGTGTAGGTAGGCTACCCTGCGTGCAACTGCAACCTACCTACCTTCCACTAGACACACATAAGAAATTCAAGGTTGTGGTTTTGAGAAAATCAGGAAGTGGGCGTGGATGTTCTTTCACCTAAAACCAGCTGAGCTTATTGTTTTTCACACCGGAGAAACACATGTTATTGCTGCAGACGCCCCCGTAACTGGGCGGACACGCCGAACACGGCCTTCCCAGCTTGTATGGGGCTTCTCCTATCCAGTTACCCCTAGAATCAGGAGAAAAGGATATTAATAGTAACAGAAAGAGGCATAATGTGCATATTAGAAGCATCCAGGGCAGGGGTAGGCAACCTTGGCACTCCAGCTGTTGTAGAACTACAAATCCCATGAGGCATTGCAAGACTCTGACAGCCACACTATGACTTCCAGAGGCAGATGCATGACAGGATTTGTAGTTTCACCACAGCTGGAGTGCAGAGGTTGGCTACCCCTGGTCTAGTGCCTAAAGTATAACCAAGGCAAAACATATTTGGACAATGTTAAGAAGGGTTCAAACGCCTGTCTCGTGGAAATTTTCCTTCACTTCCTGTTCTGGAAACACAACAGGAAGTAAGGGGAAAGCTCTACAAAATAAGGGCTAATCCCATGATAGAGAGTGGCCCCTAGCTCTATTGACAACGGGTAAAGTCTGAATGTGTGACAATGTTCCTCTGTTGCTACCTGGGCTTTCCTGTCCCGGTGACGCCCGACCTCCAGATCTAGCGCGGGTGTCGCAGGAACAGGAAGTGCAATGGTGTCACAGACAATAATAATTATACTAAGAGCTTAAATTGCCAGCAATATCCAAATCTAAATGACATCATGAAGGACTCTAAAGGTGCTAAGCTGTAGATAAAGTACACATTGAATGAATAGCATAGCCTTGCCTGTAGCCTGACCCTCTCCATAAACTGGCCAATAAACCCGTCCCGGCAACACGGTGTGGTCTAGGCTGCATTCCAGAAGACAGGCCGGGATATGGTAGGCAGTGCCTGTTGTAGAACGCGAGGTTCTGACTGTTGGTGGTGGTAAACAACGTGCTTGTGACCAGTTAGAACAAGCAGCTTTTTATAGTACTTTCACCATGTTTATAGTGCCGCATTCCTTCCTCAAGTGACCGAACAGGAACATCTTTAAATGTCAACCCCTCCTCCCTCACAAATGTCATGTAGTTACCCGGGACAGTCAAATCACCAACTTTGCATATAGTCTTCATTACTTATTTTATTGTGTTAGGTCGGATTTTCCCCTTTTTTCATGAGACCGTGGTGGCTACTGGGAAATGGTCAGATTCTGCTTGTTACCAAGGGTGGGCGTGTCCACTATGGACAAAGGAATCCTCAACCAGATTTATTGTTCCTTCATATGTAACATTTTCATGTAGCAACAAGCAAAGCCAGTAACTATGCTCCTCAGCTTCATCTAGTGGCTATAAGTATTTATCTCCAAGGCTCCACGGCTTCATCTAGTGGCCAAAAGTATCAATTTCCTATGCTCCTCAGCTTCATCTAGTGGCCATAAGTATTTATATCCCATGCTCCTCAGCTTCATCTAGTGGCCATAAGTATTTATTTCCCATGCTCCTCAGCTACATCTAGTGGCCATAAGTGGGGCATTTATGTCATTTTTATGGGCCCTGATAAGGTTTGTATATTTTAGAAACCTGTATGTTTTCCTTTGAGATGATTTTATATTCGCCCAGTGTATTATCTGAAATGTTCCTTTATATCAAGTTGCTGCACTCCAGATAAAAGCACTATGTAATCTGGTTAGTAGGAGGCATGAGGAGTACAAGAGGGAGTAAGCTCAGGGTGGCCATCAAGAAGCATGTCCATATTCACTAGGAGCCCGAAGAGCCAGCAGGAGGAGGGGCAGTGCCACGAAGTCTGCAGAGCTGCAGTGTGGTCACCTTCATGTTACCCAGCCACATACCACTGCCGGTTCGGCTCACATCAGATATTTAGCCCCTTTGTCTTCAGGTGCTCCATGGTTCAGACATGTACAATATGATCTGTTCTACCCCCATGCTCGTAGCTCGTAGTTATCGCCTAACTTACTTGATGGAGTAATTACACACCAAAAGGACGGCCTGTCTCCACGTACTTCCCCACACGTTGATGTTGTGACAAGTGTTGATGGCGCAGCCCATTTTATTGGACGATGCCCACACCATCTGGAAGAGAGAAGGACCAGATCATTACAATGTATTCATATATCCTTTATTTATATTGGTCAGGAGCATATGACAATATCGGCAAAAAAGAGAACTGTTTAACCATCCAGCAGAGACTAAAACTGTGCAAAAAAAAAGTTGAACTCCAGGCAAACAGCTTGAAATACATAAACATGAACCTTCTTACCTGTACAGCTTACAGCCTCATAGTCACCAATGGTGTGGCTGAACAGCCATGGGCAGTGTCTGATTGGGAAGTTGAAGGTCCAGTTCCCCATCAGGTCTTTTCTCCTGGTTCATGACAGCAGGATTTCATAGCCAATAGATAGCTTGCTATTGAATCCACCCACTGCCTGTTGTCAGTCACTAGCAGTGGACCTGATGGGGAACTAGTCCCTCGGCACCCCCATCAGGCTCTGTCCACTGTCAATGTCACTGGTTTTTAAGGTTGCTATCATCCATGGGAGATGGTGTGCTCCTCTGAGAATGAGTGTCTGGTATGGCCTCAGTGCATCTCTGCACCTCAAATGGCCGTGCTTGTGCCTATTTCCAACGGGTACATGAATCTGGGGCAAACGCCAACATTTTTTGTGCGGATGCACAATGGAATTCTAAAGAGTGTTGTAGACAGAATAATTCTTGTTCTTGGCTATCTCTGAACTATAGGACCATGCCCCTCTATGTTATGGCGAAAAAAGGGGAACAGAAACTAGTTCTGACTAATTCGGACACATCTGAACTTCTGAATCCCAATGCATCTGAATGCGTCCGAATCCGAATTTTTGTTTCCGAATTTCTGATCCTATCCGAATTTCGATCAAAAACAAAACTGAATCGGACATGTGACTTTTCTGGCCAATCAGGTGTGTTTTTCGCTTTAATGCACCCGAATGGGTCTGAAAACGAATTTTTGCTACAGCAACATGGGAGCCATATACAGTATATACATTTAATACTAACGCTGGGGCTCCTAGACCCGAATATTATTCGGAATCCGAATTTCTGAATTGCATTCAGAATGCCATTCAGGTCTGGTAGCATCCGCTTTAGTAATATATGTATTTGGCTCCCAGACCCCAATGGCATTTGGGATCCCAATTTGCGAATTGCATTCGGGAGCTCCTAAATCCCATTTGAGTCTGGGAGCCTCAGCTTTAGTATTAATATCGGTATATGGCTTTCTGTGGTATTCGCAACGAATATTCGTAAACTCATCCGAAACGAACAAATTCGGATTTTGTCCAAATCCCAAACCCGAACCAAATTAAATTTCGCATCCGAATCCCGAAATAAAGAAATATACGGTCCAAACTGAATTTTTCTGCAGCTTATATGTCTAGCAGAGACATGTAGCCCTATCCTAATTCTGTATACAGTACTTTGAGAGACAAGACGGGAAGTGTGTTACTGGCAGAACATGGTGAAAATGAAGGGGCAAAAACCCCAAAAAAGGAAACTAACGCGGCCACCACATCTCAGGACAGGTAAGCTGCAATATCAGCTATTTTGCTCTTGGGTTTAGAGACACTTTATGTTATATTACAATGAAGGTGTTGCTTCGGTTGGGCCCCAGCCTTGCAGATAGGCATCTCTATGGCTTTTTATTTAAGGGTGGTATTCTTGGCAGAAGCCGCGGCTCTAACAAGGTCTCAGGCCAACACAAACACGGCAATAGATATGTCCAAATTAAAACCCTTCATGTACTCCGTGCCCGAGACGCGTGCGTCAGTGACGGCACTCGCCGAGGTCAAATTCCCGACTCTTGCCAAATACGATGCTGTAATGGCTTATTTTAAAGCTTTCGGTATTACAATATCTGTGCCTCGGAAAGGTTGGAAAAACAGCTCAAAAATAACATTTGCTTTCCCCCCTCCTCCATTTTTCCGCTCTCTTTCCTAAAAGATGATTGATCTTCTTCTGCCAGGGTAAATGTTTTTAGATCCCATTTAAGGTTTGCAGCAACAATTGCTGAAAAATGAGCCAGCTTTGAAACAGAAAAGTTCAGATGGGTCTTCAAGAGCAGCTGGGGATCTTGCTGATGCACCTTGCCATATCGTACAGCTTGAGTCTCTCTGTGGTCATCAACAAGACCAACCCACCGGATGCTCTTGTTGATGACCACAGAGATATGGCAAGGTATATCAGCAAGATCCCCAGCTGTTCTTGAAGACCCACCTGAACTCTGTTTCAAAGCTGGCTCATGTCATATCCTACAGCCAGAGTCTCTCTGTGGTCATCAACAAGACCAACCTGTGGGTTAGTCTTGTTGACGACCACAAAGAGACTCTGGCTGTAGGATATGGCAAGGTATAAGATGACCTTCTGATAACTAGGGATGAGCGAAAAGGAGCACTCCCTTGTTTCCAAAGCTACGAAATCAATCCAGAATATTTTGGCAAAATTTTGCCATTTTGGCAAAGTGCATCGAAATAAATTAGGAATTGGAAATTTTTTGGTTTTGGGTGGTTTTAAGGGTGCCAAATAGCGTAATGGGCTTTAAACACACAATGCCACCACCATGTGTGTTTCCAAAGCACTCCCCAGCTTAGTTATACTCATCTTACCAGAGCTCCCTCACAGCTCTTTAATCCGGCATTGAGGGGGTCACCTGTGTTAGAGGCTAGGGGACACAGTGATGTCAACCCCTTAGTCATGTGACTGGGGATATCTATTGTAGAGTCTTGAGAATCAGGGACTCCTTGTTGACAGACAGCTGCCTCCAAATTTCAGGAATCCTGCTACTTATCCTTATCAACTCAAGGGGCCCAGCGCTCCTGTACCAACAGGACAGTAGGACATAGGTAGGTTACACCTATTTATATATCAACCATACTATCTATGCAATTCAGATGTGCATGGGGTGTATTTATAGACAATTCACAGAGCCATTCGTCCTGCCAAATTGCCACGTACATTCACTCAGTGTGAATGGAGGCAAATACAAACGTTATTTTTTCTAACCAGGTTGAATGTAAAATCAGAAAAATACCCCATTATGACCACTAGATGGAGCTGGGGAGCACAGGAGAGAAGTATTGGTCTCCTATACTCCTCAGCTCCATCTAGTGGCCATAATGGGGTATTTTCCTAATATTACATTCACCCTGGAAGGAAAATATGCTAATAATATTCGTTGTTGCCTCCATTTGCACGGAACGAATGCACATAGCAGTTTCGCAGGGCGAATGGCTCTGTGAATTGTTTATAAATATACCCCTATGTGTGATGCCAAAATGCCTTCTTCTGGAACAACAGAATACTAGACACAGGATAGTTTGAACAATATGCACAGCTGTCTTTTTGCAACCTCGGTGACTACCTAGCTTTGTATTTAGCGCGGTAACATTTCCTGATGCACAGGCAGAACTGCAGCTCGCAACTGCCTACGTGTCCTGCCACGTCGGGAAACAAAATTAAGAAAAGTTTATCATCAGGGAAGCAAATGTGTTTTCTACATCTCCCGTCCGCCGCCATCTGCAGACTGCTTTAACGGGAGCAGGGGATGCCATGGGGACCCGGGGCCAACCGCAAGGACAAAAAGAACGCAGCGCCGAGTTTTGTGTTTTATAAGGGATACGAAGGACCAGCTGTCACCCGGCACACTTCAGCTGATGGTAAAAGCGAAATGTGAGAGGAAGACTTTCTTCCTTCAAAAATAAATATCTGGCTGTGCGATCAGGTGCAGGGGAACCGTTTATGGAAAAAGATTTAACTGCCTGCAGATGTACGCAGAGGTGCCAGGGGAGGGGGCGGGAGAGCAAGAGGCTTCTCAAGACCTTACTAGAAAGACTCCGCTATAAATGTAACAGGGATTTCAGCAATAAATCCGCTCAGTCCTATTCCTAAACTGATTCATATGCTTCAGTGCAGACGCATACATGCTGCAATAAACAAAGCAGAACTTACAGAGACAGCAATGAATTCCTGCCAATTGAAAGGAATCGCGGAGATTGTAATGTTTATCAACTGCCCATTCATGTCACTTTAGGTGGCCACTAGGGCCGGATTTCCCACAAGGCCACCGAAGCCTGGCCTCGGGGCGGCAGGGAGCAGTGGGGCAGCAGGGGTGTAGAATTTCCCGATGCCCTGGGCATTAGTTCCGGGCATCGGGCAGGTAGTTGTTTTCTTCATTTAGCTCTGCTTTGGCCAAGCAGGGCTAAATGTAGAGCGGGGAAGCAGCTCGTTCGGTTACAAGTGATCTCGGCGATGTTGCCAAGATCACTTGTAATAAGACTGCAATTAAATTGATTTAAAAAAATAATTAAATAAAATGTAAAAAATAATAAGAAATATTAATTAAAATAAAATGGTGATTAAAAAGTAAAAAATAATAAAAATTATAAAAAAATAAATAAGTAAAAAATAATAAGATAAAAAATTATACAAAATATAAAGGTTAAAAAAATTAATAAGATACAAAATGATAAAAAGTAAAAGATGATAAGATAAATAAAAATTTAAAAAAGTAAAAAAAGAAAAATGCAAAAAAAAATGATAAAGTTAAAAAAATAAAGAAACAAATAAAACTAACCCTGCCGCCCCCGATATCTGGATGCCATTATCCATTGGGGAGGGGGGGTTTGTCGAGGAGGGGGCACATTGAGGAACCTGACCTTGGGGTAGCAGAGAGAGTAAATCCGGCCCTGGTGGCCACGTGGTCTTTTTTGCTCTTGCCTTGTGGCCTGTGACCAGTTTAAAGTAAAACCGGGTGCTGCATCCTGTGAGAAAGGGGAGGAGTCACATACACCTCTATATACAGAAGCACCATTTCCCAGAAAGTCTCTTTAAGGATTTAGGCTGAATGAGGACCCCATGTTATTAACCTCTTCCCAAACGCAACCTGTATATTAATAATATTATTTTGAAGACATGCCAACTGTCAAGGTTGTCTCAACCGAACTTTCAAGCCCTCCAACGGCTGGTGTCATAGCTGATCACATGTGCAACACCATGGCGGCTACAATCCAAATGATGGTTAAGATGGCACAATGCCCCGTGCTAAGGATGCTACGGAATTGTTTCATAAATGTATGATCATTGACAAACTATGTCTTCAGCCTGCAGATGGCAGTGTTCCTCTCTTTACTGTAGCTGCCAGATACAATCACAGTATTAGAAAAATCAATACCTTTCTAAAAAGATAACAACATTTTTTTTTTTTCTGCTTTAACATAATGATTGTCTGCCACTGCTGAATGCTAGTTGCCAGGGTGGTATGTTAATTCAAATACGAGTCAATCATTCGAACAAGTATGGAGATTAGGAGTTTTCACCTTGACATCCCTGAACAGGAGGATATGGTATATGTTGTATCATGTCCTGGGGAGCTGTGATTAGGGTCATACCTGTGTGTAATGGCTGCACACGGAGCCGCTACATTTGCTGGGACAGCTGGGGTTACACTCCCGCGGGTAAGGAAAAGAGTAATGTTGTCTCTCGTCGTACCAAGCCTTGACTAGATCCAAGACGGACCGATACCTGCAAAACAAAGTCGCCATGAGCGTGATGGACCATCGGAATTCAGCAATTATGTCTCCATACAACACAAACATCCCGGTTCCTTTTATTGAAGTTGCAGGGGGCTGACACAATGAGGGAACACTAACAGGTGGAGGACAAACCAACGACCTTTGAACACTGACTAGCACCAACGGGGTCAGTAATTGGGAGCAGTACTCTAGCAATGGGCTCTACCTGTCTCCCTGTTAGTGAGGAGTCTCTAGGGTGGTATGTTGCCCTCCCCCTTTACCTACAGAGGCCTTCATTGATACTTCTCTCATTGGCAGTTTCCAGCAGTTGGTGGTCTGTTCTTCAACATAGGGCAACAACACTAATGAATGGACCTTTCTAGATCACTGATCAGATTGCAAATAAGAAACCATAAAATGACCGTGAACTGGCCTGTAATGTAAACATCAGATTTTAGTAGACTGGCCCTTTAATATATGCTATTAGCTGCCTGAGACGTAATTCATAACTATATGTGGATATGATATTAGTCAAAACACGGAAATATTCATTCTCATTGTGTACTGAAGCTTGAAGAGATCCTTTCCTTACAGCAACATATACCCTCCCTGTAGTATGTAAGCGGAGTAAAATGGAGATAGCGAGACTCTGAAATACCAAATAAGTCATCACCGCCATTGTCAGGTCTGAGCTCTCACATCTGTTAGTGTGCAGATATCAGTGTTTGCACTGGTCTATTTACTCTAGTGGAGGGAACAGCTGGAAAACCGAGAACAATGTTCTTATCTCTCAGCCTGCTGTCTTGTTTTTGGGGAACTTTTTCCAATTTTTGGATGGAAAATATCAAAGCTGTTGACATACCCCCCTCCCCGATGACTGTGCTTCCACGCTAGGGACCCATACCTGTTAACCACACTGAGAAGCTATCACTGATGGGAGAACTGTTAGGCTGTCTTTGGTTTTGAACGCCTATCCAAAAGCATTGGAATTCAATGGGCAAAGCTTTCCTACCAATTTCCCAATTGGACCCAAATCACATGCTTTTAAAACACAGCCTATGGTGTCAATTGATTAAAATTTGTCTCTGTGTTGCTATAAAAGACACAAATGAACACAGCTCTGTATTCATTAATACGTCTTTACATTAATTTATTTTAAATTCAAGCAGTGAAAGGTTCTGACTTTGACTCGGTATCAACCTTTAGCAATCCCCTGTACAGCAGAGCTCATACTAGGGGAAGGAGAAGCAGCTCAAGGAGGCAATCAGTTGCCCTGCGGTGCAAAGAACATTTATGCATTTTTTTTTATTTGCTCAGATTCTACTTCCCACGTTTGATATAGGGTCACTTCAAGCCATTGTTGTTTATATGCAGTCATGGAGTTCATGGCCCAGGGCAAGACTTCTTGAAGTACAAGCTAAAGCCAAAACCTTTTTTTTGGAACCCCAATCAGTTTTGTTGCCCTCTCTGTTCCACTGAGGAGATTTGCCATTACTTCCTGTCTTGTAGACAAAACAGGAAATGAGAAGAAATCAAAGTCATGAGATTTCCCCTCTTATTTGTCACCAGAAGAAATGTCCCCAATGGAAGATTTCTGCTCTATTCCTGTTTTGGTGACTCAAAATTCGAGACTTCCTGAAACTTTAAATTCTGGCAACAATGGTCACGAGGACAAGTAGAGAGGATGAATCTCCCCAGCCGGAACACAAGCCGTGATAAACACTTGTTAGAGATTTTAACCCTCCATCACTCTACCAAGGACTTGAAAAATATGTTAGGGCTATAATGATACATGTATATCTGTAAACAAAAAATAAATAAAATAAAGAGGAAAAATAATAAAATACAATAAAATAAATCAACAAAATAAAAGAAAATATAAGAATATGTTCTGGCTACAGAGACAGGTAAAGGTGTTTAGACAAATGTCCAAAAGAGGCACCTTGGAATTAAGTGTATTACAAATAAATTGACAAATAAAATGAAAAAATAAATTACAATAAATACCAACAATACAATAAATTACAAGATATAAAAATATGTTCTGGCTAAAGAAACATTTGAAGTTGTTTAGACAAATGTCAAAAAGGCACCTTACAACAGAGTGAACTAAAAATAAATGTAAACAATAAAAATAAAATGAACGATAAAACAATAATATTTAATAAAATACAATAAAATAATAAAACAAATGAAATTAAAATAAATATGTTCAGGCTATAAAGACATGTGAACTTATTAGGCAGATTTCGATAGGGCGCCTTACAACATGAACTAAAACTAAATGTAAAAAATTAAATACAATAAAAGAATAGAACAAAATAAAACAAATTAAAATAATAATACATTTAAATAAATATGTCCTGGCTATAAAGACAGGTGAATTTGTTTGGATGTCCATGAGACACCTAACAATAGAATGAAGCCATGAATGACAGCTCTGTCCAGGCTGGGCTGGGCACACAAAGCCCAACAGTTGGCAGGCTCATGGGAACCTTATCAGCTTGTAGATAGATGCTTACAATAACAGTGAATTATGGATTGCCTTTCTCCTGCAGACAGATGGGTTGTCAGAGTACTTCGTCACACATTTTTTATGTCATTTATAAGAGAAGTCTACAGTTATCTCTTGTGGTGGCAGTTTTTCACCTGCGTAGTTGGGAATTTTCTATAACGTGTCCCTGAGATTCTTTACAAAATGACGCCGTCCTCGCCAACTGAACTGAAATGGACGGATCTTTCACCAAATAGACAGTCCAATGATGCCAAACAACCGTTCAAGAGTCTTAACATTTTTTTATATTTGATTTACAGCAGAAATGGTCATCGTGTTTCGGGGAACACAAAGACTCCCCCTTCGTCAGGGTTTAGGAGTTTGTGAACACAGATTGTGTTCAGCGGGGACCCAATGGGTGAGACATCTGCCATGCAAAAATAGAATAGAGGACACAATCTCCTCCTGTAGAGAGTGTTGTATGCACTCACATCAGAGAAAGATGAATTTTGATTGATTGTTTTAGGTTGCTCTATCCCGGGCTTTGATGTGGTGTTTCAATGGCCCAATTATATGATAACAACACAGTTATGATTTGCAGGGTTATAACATTTGATGGACTATCCTGCAACCCAATATAAGCTGTATTCAGGGAACATCACAGATCAGATCCATAATATACACTGAACCAGGAAAAAAGCATGAATGTGTCCGAATCCGAATTTCCGTTTCCGAATTTCAGATGCCGTCCGAATTTCGTTCAAGAACTAAACTGAATCGGACATGTGACTTTTCGGGCCAATCAGACCGAATGGGTCTGGACACGAATTTTCGTTACGGCAACATGGGAGCCATATACAGTATATACATATAATACTAAAGCTGAGGCTCCTAGACCTGAATGACATTTGGGATCCGAATTGCATTGGGGGAGCTCCTGAATGCCATTCACGTCTGGGAGCCTCAGCTTTAGTAATATATGTATATGGCTCCCAGACCCGAATGGCATTCGAGATCCAAATTTCCGAATTGGGGAGCAGCTCCAGAATGCCATTCGAGTCTGGGAGCGAATCCAATTCGGAAATTCGGATCCCGAATGTCATGGGATCTGTATATGTTTTTCTTGTGGTATTTACAATGAATATTTTGTAAACTAATCCGAAACTAACAAATTCAGATTTCGTCCTAATCCAAAACCCCAACCGAATTTCGGATCCGAATCCTGAAATAACGAAATATCCAAACCGAACCAAATTCTTCCGCAGCTTGCATGTCTAGACTGAACGGGGAAAAAGAAGCGCGAGGACTGAATAAGGAAAAAGAAGACTGGGGTCATGGGTCACGGGTCACAGGTCAACGTTTTCTCTCATGTTCTCTAGCACACCTCTCATTTATCAATCATCCATAAACACAGCAAATACAGAGGAATGAATTACCTTCCAGAGTGGATGGAGAGATTCTGGCCTATGTAGCGCATCAGATGGGTTGGTCCGTGGTCCCACTTACATTGGTTCGCCCAGGATTCAGCAGATTTGGCTAACCGCTCATCCCACACCTTAACAAAAAGAAAAGATCAGCATTAAAACGGTTTCTGTGCTAAAAAAATGTTTTGCTTACATTCACTTCTAGATTTCCCTATGATGTTAAATCATTATAGAACAAAAAAGGAAGCGGCGCGACCAGGGAAAGGAAATTGTTGTGGACCAATTGTTGAAACCTGGTGAGTTGTTGGTATGGTCTGACTGGCTTGACAGTGAAGTGGAGGCGATCAGGTGCGGCTCCTCCCGGTTGAGGTGGTAGGGGGTCAAGGAACACAAGCGGAGAACGATAGAGGTGAGAAAACACACACAATGGAATCAAGGTGTGGAGTTTAGAGGCTCACCGTTGGGTAAGGGTAGAAGCGATGTCATCGGCGAAGGTGATGGTGGAGATCCAGAGGTCCTGTATGGTTAGCCGTTTTCTCACCTCTATCGTTCTCCGCTTGTGTTCCCTGACCCCCTTTTGTTCTATGATTACACCTGTCAGACACCCCGGTCGGTACTATTAGGAATCTGCACACCATTTTCCCCCCTTGCCCACACAAACATTTGGGTGTGTGAACACCCTCGTCAGAGCGCTGGATCTCTGGACTGCCCCTACAATTTTTCACAATGTTAACTCATTAGACTGTTCTGCACATGTCAGTAAAATTGGTGCAATACTGGCATCTCCTGGGTTTCCAGCAACCCATTGGGGTTGATCAACTAAAGGAATAGAAGGTTTTCACCCAATTAAATACTAGCAACAGTTCTATCTTTTTTATTTCCCTCGTAAATGAATGCACACCGTGATCACAGATGCACCTTATTGCCTGGCATTCAATTTACTACATAATTAACTTGTACTTCTTTAGTACAGCAACCCAATGAGCTTCCACGAGTGTGGGATTCACATAAACCATCCAACAAGCCCAACTCCTGGCAATTTTTAAAAAATCCCCCAAAAACTCAGCTCAGTTTTGTACTTCTATTCCATCACAAGATGTCCTCAGTCTTCCAGATTGAATGACACCGAGTGCACCTCAACCCCTGAGGACATTACTGGGAATCTAATGCTCATCAATAGGCATCATCACATCAGCACCGCTCTCTCTGCATCTCTGAGGACCTTTTCTGCAATGGAGAAGATCTGACCCAGCTCATTCCTTGAGGGGCAGAAGAAAGGTCTCCAGGGGCGAAGAGGGGTCACTTATGGGGGGGAGCATGGGGAGACATGCAGCCTGGAGATGCTCTTTAAAGCACACCCAAGATGGCTGCCTCATCTCCCTATCTGCCCCAACACCAATTTGATAAGTAATTTATGTCCCCAGGGAGAAAAGAGCTATAGAAATATGAATTAAATAATAATAATAATAATAAAGAGGAAGTTAGGGTGGGGCTGGGGGGGCATGTGCCCCGGGTGGCACTTTAGGAGGGTCACCACTGGGTGTGTGGATGGAGAACTTCTCCCTTGGGGGAGGGGGGAGCAACTCTGAGCCTTTGCCCCGGTTGACAGAATGTCTAGCTTCCCCACTGAAATACAGCATACCATAACATGCGCTTTTCCTTTCTAACAGCATAGATCATAAAATGAAGAATTGCACCGCTATGCTGGAGCATTTCTATTCATCCTTGCCAGGTAGCACAGCAAGCCAGATGACCTGACCTTTCTCTCCTGCAGTTATTTACCCCAGCCTGGTCACCTCCCCAACCAGAGCCTTGACTGGACAGTGAAAGAGAAGCAGCAGACTGATGAAGTCATCTTTCTGCTTGCTCGTTCTGTCAGCATGTGCATATAACACACTGGATTGGCTTCCAGTGCTACCTCTATCTTTCCTGACTAAATGCTGCTGTAACAGGGGAATACAGAGGCTGATTTCAAGTTACATTCAGATTTTTATACTTGGAATATTTAAAAATACGTTTCAGGATTTTTAATTATTACAGAAATCAATACAGAAATTAAATTAATACAGGAATGAATACAGAAATTAAATTAATACAGAAATATATTAATACAGGAATGAATACAGAAATAAATGAATACAGGAATAAATACATAAATTAAATTATTAAAGGAATTAATACATAAATTAAATGAATACATAAATGAATATATAAATTAAATTAATACAGGAATGAATACAGAAATTAAATGAATACAGTAATCAATACAGAAATAAATTAATACAGGAATGAATACAGAAATTAAATTATTAAAGGAATGAATACAGAAATTAAATTATTAAAGGAATGAATACAGAAATTAAATGAATACAGAAATAAATGAATACAGGAATTAATACATAAATTCATTTTTAATACAGGAATGAATACATAAATATTATAATATCTCCCTAGAGCTCAGCTTTAAGGTCTGTAATGCAAGAACATAGACGTCTGGGTAAATTAGAAAGTTCAACATGAGGGTTTCCATGTTCCTAAGATGAAGGAATCGGCTTCCCAGAGCGAGGGAATAAGAACATCTAAACTTGGAAAAATAATATTTCAGACGTGGTTTTAGGAACTGTCTGAGCAGACTGTGCCGAGTCAGAAAAGCCCTTTTCAGTTAAAAGGTCGGGCAGGTGTTGCTCCGTGACGTATCGCTGTGAAGGTCTACCAAACATTAAAATAGGGGCCTATTCATACAGAAGGGAAATCACTATTTTATGTTGATTTTTTTCTATTTCTTCCCTCCTGTATGAAAGCTTTACAATAAGATAAAAATAAAACTGACCAAGAACTGTTATCATTTTATAGTTTATTTAGTATAATGTGGAAAATAGGAAACTTCTCAAAAGACCCTTTGTCTTAAATTCAACCTAAAATAAAAAGCAATGCACTTCCTATGTCTCGAGTCCCATAGATACACTGTTGGTCTCAGGAGATTTGGACTACTGTGCTGCTCACTGTTCTCCTTGCTGGAGAGAAAGATGTACCTGAGGATCTGCAGTGCAAGGATCTCACTGCTTCTAATTCATCCTTTTTGTGGATCTGTGTTTTCTGCACCTTTCCAACTACTTCTTAAATATTCCCCTACCAGTCATTAGATCATCGGGTCTCAAGGGGGGGGCAGCTCTAGCACGAGGAAGCAAAGCCCTGTCCTCTACCAAGATGGCTCCCCAAGCAAAGACACATGATAAGTCAATAATGGAGAACATATTCGATACTAGGTGACTAGTCCTTTGCCCTATGCTTGCCTTTTTTGGGGGCACCACTTAAGCTATACAGATCCTTTCTATGGGTGGTCTTATCTCTCCCAGGACTGTGCACTTACCATGTATTCCATATTGGCAGCTGGTGGGAAGACTTTGGAGCGCACTTGGTTGTGATAGTCCAGCAAGCCATTCATGTCTCTGGGGGAAATGTATCGCTTCCTTCTGGTTCTCGGGATTCCGAGGCCAAACATGAGATCAGTAGCAGTGCTGTTGGACGGATGCAGCAGTTCAGTAGCACTTGGCAAAGCAAAGGAGCTTGAGAGCTTCATAATCCAAAGGAGCAAGCCAGGGACATACGGATGTACGTGAATCAGTGTCATCTCTGAACTTTTCAGGAGAGCTGATAGCTAGAGAAAGAAAAAGTCATCCGTCATCCACAGAGTCTCTAATTCTCTACCATGTTATACTGTGAAACAACACTTGTGGTGCAAACACTAGGATGCCAATGATGAAGGTAGTGATGGTAGAACATAACCATCTCCTTTTACAACACATATTTGTTTTTGTTTTTTGGAAGGGTGACGTTGTTGGAGGTGGCTCAGGTGCCAGCTAATTACCATCTCCCACACTTTCACTTTGTATGTGGATTGGATAACATTATGGTCCTAGGTTTATTAGAGGACTCCGACCTTATTGATCAGAGCGAACAGCCCATTGGACGCCTCAGAAAAGCTGCTCTGGTTGTGAAGACCTGCATCAATGGGCTTGTGTTCACTTCAAGCGGATTGTGCAGACCCATGCAAGATAATGGAAATACGAAACCGTCTTGGAAAAGCTCAAATACTGGTTGGGAAATGGTCAACTGCAAGTCAAATGCACCTGTCAGTGAATTCGGAATGCTCTCCGAAGCATCTCAATGCCATTGACACAAGCCCAAAGTCCATGCACACAGGCCCTTATTGTTACCTCTGACTTAAGCAGAAATCAAGTCCACAGGGACCACTTACTCCCTCTAATCCCTCTTCTAAAGAACAACAACAATGCTTGGCTGAGCCAAACTCCTGAGGGCAGCTGGATTGTGCATCCGTGCCGTAGGTCTAAGGCCAACCTACGAGGTTTCACATCTAGAAGATGATGACACCTGGGCGTTTCATAGTCCTTACAGACCCTAACCACCAAGTGCTTCCATGGTAGAAGAAGACTTACAGAACTATAATACTCTTCCATACATACCTACATCTAAATAAATAGACCTGTTGGGCCATCAGAGGAGTGCTACTTTGTGTTCCACCATCTTGATATCTGGCTCACACAGCACTGACTACATAGGCATCGCCATATTGATTATGGGACATGCGCAGTATAAGATTGATGCTCTTGCCTCGCGCACATAGAGTGCTACCTCCAGGGAGACATGTGATCATAAGGTGATGCTAATGCTCAACTCATGGCTAATCGTCCTTGTCAGCCCTGAGAAAAACCTGTTTCCTAAAGGTAGGTGGCACACATAGTTCTTCACTCTTCCAGGACAGGACTCAATGCCTGAGAGTCTATTTCCAGTCCAGCGTAGTCATGTGACTTTCTCTTACCCTATGCAAATCATGACTTTTTGAAAGTCGGAATTTGCATAGCATTTTTAGGGCACTACGATTGTGAATCAAAGGGGCAAGGAAGCACGAGTACAATGGGGTGGACTACTGGGTGTAACTGATACCAGCTTGTTTGAAAGAGATATCTAGTAAATAGGGTTTATATTAAACACCGCAATACCAATATACACTAAAACCTCCATCACTGGACGCACCAAGTACAGCGTCTTCCTCCTCCGCATTGCGAGGGTACAGCTATGTGTGCCAGAAATGGGAACTCAGACAGCAATGACAGATGTATATAAATTCCTAATGTTTAGTTCTTCATGAAACCTGAACACTGAGACTGACAGTTTCTAAGACTGTAGTTATTTTTATAGGAGCCTCCTAACAAGTAAAACAAATTAACTCTTTTTGGCTTTTACAACTGCCCCACTTAACATCAGTACATTAAATATGACACTACCAAAGCTGTAAAGGGCAGTCTGCATAAACAGCACAGCACTTCTTCAGCAGCTTGTTGTTAAAATATATATCTGGGGAGGAAACAGAATTTTTTTATTTCTTGCATTTTTATTTTTTGTTACTGCTCCCTTTTATGTAGGCTGTGCCTTTTATGGCAGCTGCATTGACTGTACATGTGTAGGAGCCTCTTATCCTTGAATAGTATTGTCAGTCATGACACCTACTGGCTGTGATAAGATGCTGCATATCACAGCACAGAGCACGAACCACACATCAGAAGTCACATGAAAAGAGAAGAAATGACAAATAAATCACAACTCTACACATGATGTGTAAACACATAGAAGCAAAAACAGCTAATAAATGAATAAATAAAAAAAGCAAATGGTTATTATTATTATTATTATTATATTTGTATCATTATATTATTATTTATATAACTTTATATACATTTAAATGTGTCATAACTATATGCTATACATGATAGCGAATATCAGTATTTATTTGATTAGTATTATTTTACATTTTTTTACTCAGGCTTTATACACACAAATTAAAATATAACATACAAAAAGATAACAATAAAAAAAACACAGTAAAAATAAAAGCAGTACTTTTACCTAACTGTGTTTTTCTGTTCTTAAGCATTCAAAATAATGAAAAATAAAATATCTGTATAAAATACGGAGTTAGAAAACATTATTTCAATGAGTAAAAAATAAATCAAATTGAACTTTAAAGCAATAAATGTGAGCTGGAGAGGTGCGATGATGAGCAGTGCAGAGGAGACAGGGATTGTACAGTAATGGACATACCTGAAGCAGCGGGTCAGGAACAGCTGAACAGTGTTAGTGCTGCACACAGACAGAATGACCTTTTGTTAGCAACCTGTTCATCCAGAAGTAGAAGAGAGAATTCTAACGTGGCCAAATCCTACAAGTGTGTCATGGCATCTGAAACTGAATCTGCATGGTGACTCCCCCCCAGCCCACCTCAGGGAATGTCTTGAAGTTTGGGAAGGAGATAGGTTGTGTGATTTAGTGCCTGCCTGTACTCCTCTGTTAGCACACACGCTACAAATGTTCTTCTAGGGTAGACTATGTGTATACAGAAAGGGACAGAAATGCATTTGTAATGCGGGAATATTCCACCGCAATCATCCTAAATCCTCTCTTCTACGCTCTTCCACTGTTTTTATTTTTTTCCCCCCCTCTTGTGACGATAGTAATTCTCCTTAAATGACCTCAACATAGTCTGAAGCGTATTTTGATTTGGCGTATCTAGATATTCTGTAAATGGAAACGAAAAGGATTTGTTAGTGCCGTCTGGAGTAAAATCCTTGGCAGGTAGCTGACTGCAAAATATCTTTATTGCAGCAGCTTCAGTGTGTACTATGTGCTGTATGGGTGCTTTAGCCTGAAGAATGTGATTGACCTAACTGGCTGTTAATTCTATGGGGGTTATTCGCAAAGCTAAAATCAGCCGTACACCAGGTAGGGGCAGGTTGAGGATCCTCTCACCCATAAAAGTGGAAGGCATGTGGTGACCCACTTAACACAGGGTCGCGACCCACTTTTGGATCATGACCCACCAGTTGAGAACCAAGGATCTAAAGAAGTTACCCTGTTAAAAAAAAAAAAAATTCCTTTTGGGAAAATTTAATTTTTTTTGCACATCATCTGACATCAATAGCTTCCAAATGAGTGACAAGAATGCTGATGAGAGGTTCTGACGCTGTAACAGATTTACTCTCCCCGTGTCAGTGACACACTTGTGCTGAAGCCAGTGAAAGCCAGCAAATTAGCATTTTACTAGGGAGCCGGCCCAAATAAGTTTCCTTTTAAGCGTTATTTTTGGTAAATATGTGGACCAACTGTTTTATTTTTTTATTGTAACCGTCTTCCCGGAATTTTTGTTTTTATCAGTTTTCCACGATTTTACAAGCAGCGTTCTGGTCCAGTCAGACAAACGACATCTGCAGAGACTTCCAAATCGCTGGAGCTCGAGCTGCTCTAGCTGCCGGCATCGCGAATGCCGAAATGAAAAGCAGAAGTGCGTTCGGCGGTCAGACAAGCCAGAAACGGCGGCCCACTGCTCCTGGATATCCCTCCGTTTCCCTGGAAAGCCATTATGCTGAATTTGGCTGCCATTGCGCAGCAATTTGGAAATACGGAAAAAATCTAGGCGGGGAGACATTTTTGAACTGCGTTCTAATTAAAAAGCCAGATTGTGATTTCAGATGAGCTGCCACTGAACTTACTAAATACCGCCAATTAACACGTTCGAGATTCTCAGACTATAAGGTCCAAACTGGCTTATGGAGGTAAATCATGCCAAGAAACTCTTTTTTTCTTAAATTGGATTAGAGCTCCGCAATATTTAAGGGAGATTTCCTGTTCTTACTTTGGTTTATATAAGGCCCAGTGGTGTAACAATCGCCATAGCGACCCAGGCGGCTGCTATGGGGCCCAGGGCACAGGGGGGCCCGGCCAGGACATCCCCCTGATGCCACCAGGGTCGCTATGGCATCTCAGGCTGCTCGCTGTCACTGGCGGCTGTGAGGAGGAACGTGTCGCTGTTAGATCACGGACAACCTGTCAGTGATCTGTGCAGCGGCGCATTCCTCCTCATAGCCGCTGCTGTGTCAGTGACAGCCAGCAGCTGTGGAGGAGGATGCTGGGCCCAGCATATGCATGGTAAGTAATGTAACTTTTCCTGGTATTTATTTTCTCTCCCAGAGATCACAGTACTTCCCCCTGGCAATGCCTTCATTCCAGAAAGACAGAGCCATCGTTGTTCAGATATTATCCGAGGTCACCATCTTCTTCCCGGACTGAGATGCTGGCACACATCATGTAAATCCTGGTGTCCTATACAGCTCTTGGATGTATTTACAAATGTTTGACACATATCACCTAGACATGTAAGCCGGGGGAAAAATTCGGTTCGGATATTTCGGGATTTGGATCCGAAAATCGGTTCGGGTTTGGGATTCGGACAAAATCTGAATTTCCGTTAGTTTCGGACGAGTTTACGAATGTTTGTTGCAAATACCACAGAAAACCATATACAGATATTAATACTAAAGCTGAGGCTCCTAGACCCAAATGGCATTCGGGATCCAAATTTCTGAATTGCTTTCGGGGCTCCTGAATGCCATTCTGATCTGGGAGCTTCAGCTTTAGTATTATATGTATATGGCTCCCAGACCCAAATGGCATTCGAGATCCGAATTTCCGAATTGCATTGGGGAGCTTCTCCCAATGGCCAACAATGTAAGAGAGGCATTCTTCCCAATGACCCCCGATTACTTCATTTTAGCTGGGGTT